CTCCACAGTCACCATCCACACACAGGCTCATCTGCCCTGCAGCACATTCATGGTGTTCATCTTAGAAGCTGCTTTTACCTGGCTTCTCATGGTGTGGTGTGAGAGCTTGCACGCAGCCATCACCCAGTACTTTGGCTGTACAGGAAAGGCTGAGCCTAAGTAGTCACAGGTGAGCAGCTCTAAGCTGTGCTGCCTTAACTCCCTTGGTACAGGCAAGTCAGGACCCCTAGATAAACAGCAAAAAATGCCTTCAATATAACTTCCAGTAGTCAATGGCACATGATTTTGTTAGTCCAAACAGTTGAGTCCTTTTGGTTCCTTTAATTTCATTTAATACTAACACTGCCCCTGTCCCTTATCTGTCCTCACAAGTACTTCCCTGAGATATCACAGCACTGGCTTGGCAGGGTGAGGTATCACCAGTCTATAACCAAATAATACTCATAAAGTCAGAGCATCCTTGAATCGCAATCTATGCAGACAGTAGGTATTCACAGGCTGTGTTGAACACAGCGCAGCAGCAAAGGCCAATTCCAGCCATAGATTCTGTGCTGTTTGCTGCAGTCACTCACGACCAGCGCTGCAGTTTTGCAGCACCTTTCTTATAAAGAAGGACCCTGTGTGCAGACCTGCTATTCAGAATCCCATTAACTTTTATTTGAAAAACTTCTATCATCTAAACTGTAACCATTTCAGAAACATTGCACTGTGATTAGTTGCAGTGACACGACCTGCCGTTCATGACCCAAAACACAGTAAAAGCTCACATTCACTCAGCTGTGACTGTGACATGCTTTCATACTTATTTCAAAACTTAATATAGATAGACTTGGATCAATAGCAATAAATCTCCTATGGGATTCAAAGATGTTTGGAGCTGGAATCACGATTTACCTTACATGATCCTATTGGCCTAAAACAAACAGTACAGGCTCCCAGGTGTTGCTGTAGTGAAAATAAAACGCATACACACAGAAGTGCAAAGTGCAGGGGGTTTGTGCTTTGTGATGATTTTTCTGAGGTACTGAAAAGCTGTGAGGAGTTTATGAATGCTGGAAAAGGTATTTTTAACGCGAATGAAAATCTGAGACTTGCTCTGCTGTTTATTCATTATTCACCGTCGATCATTTTCCTGTAATACTTTGTCTTCGTTTTGTCAGGGGAATTCAAAATACCCAATTTGGCCAGGAGGACAAACTGCAGAACCTAAGTATTAAATAGCAAAGAGTCAAGAAAATGGTTTTTGAAAAACCTGTAGGTAGCAAAAAAAAAAAAACAACCAACAAAAAAAATCCCTCAAAACGCCAAACTTGAAACCCCGAATTAAACCAGCAGCATTAAAGAAATTGCAGGCTGGGATCAGTCTGCACATGAGTTCGTAATCCAAAGGAACCACCTTGTACTTCTACTGATATTGCCAGAGTTTGGGATACTTGAGAAGTCACATAGTAGCTGCATGGGGGTTTGTATAATATTCCAGCTACTAAATCCAGCAGCCATAGTTGAGAATTTTGACTTTTATTAAAAAAGGGGTTATAAAATGTTGAGAACTTATGGTTTATGCTAAAAGTTTGAAAGTATTAAAAATCAAAAGGCAACTTCCTTACCTCCCAACTTAGTACGAAGAAAGAGTTGTGTTTGTCATTCTGCCTCACCACCAATGTCCTTTTGCATGATTTCATACGCTGAATGCTGGCAGATACTCAACTCTGGTAAAGCTCTGGCATAGCTCCATAGGCTGATGATATGACTATTAAAGAGCTTCTATAGCTACTTAGACTACTTATATTAGTTCAGACTTTAACAAAATAAGCAGTACTGAACATACAGTGCCTCCACCTGAGCATAAAAAGGCACTTCTAATAATTACTAAAGACCATTTCCTTTTTATGATACACCTATGATAATTTTTTCCCGATCAGATTGTATTTAAATCTCATTTTTCTACAAAGCTTGACCATATCCACTCAGCTGTGTACCTCTGTGACCAGCAGAAGCCAGCTCTCCAGTGGTCACATGAGAACTGCATGACTACGTGTCATGGTATAACCCCAGCTGGCAACTAAATAATCACCACAGCCACTCACTACCCTCCTCTCCCTCCGATAGGACTGGGAGGAGAATTGGAATGGGTTGAGATAAGAACAGTTTAATAATTGAAATAAAGTAAAATATAACAATAATTAAACCAATAACAACAACAGCAATAATCATAATGATGAAGAGGAATAAGACTCAGGAAACACAAGTGATGCCGTATATAATTGCTCACTTCCCGCCAACCGATGCCCAGCCAGGCCCTGAGCAGTGGTCTGTGGCTCACGGCCAGCTTCCCCGGTTTATACACTGGGCATGGCATGCTGTGGTATGGAATACCCCTTTGGCTAGTTTGGGTCAGGTGTCCTGTCTCTGCTCCCTCCCAGCTTCTTGTGCCCCTCCTCACTGACACAGCATGGGAAACTTAGTCCTTGACTTAGGGAAGGCACTATTTAGCAACACCTAAAACATAGGTGCGTCATCAACATCATTCTGAGACTAAATCCAAACAGCTCCCAGGAAAAAAATTAACTCCATCCCAGCCGAAACCCAGACACTATGCAAAACAGCCTGACAACAACAGTTGGGTAAGTCTTTGTCATGCCAACTTTCACCTTTCTTGGGTTTGACTGCTGGCAAAATGCAATACTAAAAAATTATTGGAAACTCTTTATCTATGGTATCTTTCCCAAAACAGAACACAAAGTTACAGCATCATTTTCTCCCTACTACTAAACCTTTTGACATAACACTGCTGAAATTTTTGCCATCACATGTGTGAAGACAAATATAGCAAAAAAAAAAGCCAGTGGCTCCACTTACCTTTATAATTAATACAGAAAATGTGTTGACTCTTATTTCAGAAGATACCATCCAACCTAGTGCTGCTTTGGGACAGAAATAAATTAAATACTTTTCTGAATGCTACTCAGGTCAGTAGCCAGAGTCTGCATCTCCAGATTTTGGAAGATTTGGAAGTCCTCAAGATAACTAACAAGAGTGAAACACAGTCAGTGTCACTGGAAGTGCTGCAGCATACTAACAAGAAGAAACTCTCAAACTGTGTCAGAAGAGCAAGGTGACAACAACTCTTACAGTAGGAAAACCTCAGAAATCAGTGGGACAGAATCTGGGGCATAAACACCATAGGAGTCAGAGTGTACTTGAAGGATGAAAGGCTTCGAGAAACTGGCTATGTGAACATGACATGCAAATATGCAAGTGCAAAATGCTCCAGCTGAAGCAGAAATGTGACAGTGCTCTCTGCTGTCAACACAGACAAGGCCCATCAGCACCACTAAGACATCTGCATGATTAAAATGACCAGGACCATAACAGCACTACAGAAAGTCTTGAACCCAGGACTGGATTCCAGTTGTTTTGAAATTGCAAAGGTCACATCCCTCTGAACAGATTTCCCCAAGTAATGCAAAGAAATAATGATTTCTTTGCTGACCTCACATTAGTGGTAACAACTGAACTTACAGACAAATCCACACAGAAGGTTGTAAGAAATACATTCAGCCAAGAATCACAAGTGCTGTAAACTGGGGGCTGAGCTATGAAGAACAGTACCCAGCTTGCAAAAGGGAATGTCTCATCATGTAAACAAACAATTTGTTGATAGATAAATGTGTTACAGACAATCTAATCTTGGAAACAGACTTGAAATATGCAAATCAAAAGCAACGGATATTTAGGTTTTGCCCAAAGAGGTTTTTCATAAAGAGCTTTGAAAAATTACACCCAGCATACATGCAGTAAATGAGTCCTGGCACCCTTAACTGAGAGGACTGAAACAAGTTTCAACCACTAATCCCATTGCACTCACCTCTTTCTACAACATAAACAGGACAACAGAAATACCAACACTAATCAGCCAGGGCTGAATTTCCTCCCAAGAAACCTTATGCAGACACAAGGGAAAAAATTAAAAATAATGTAACAAAAATAGTGTGAAACTGCAAAAGCTGGGTATTCAGTGGATGACTGCTTCACCAAATCTATGTGAGGACTTAAACACCCCACAATTTCTGAAACCACCAATGTAAATGTTAATAATGAAAAAGGTGAACCAGAAGTCTGATGGAGAAAGGGTTCATTTGCAGGGTCAATTCAAACAAAATTAACAGAGACGAGAAGAATTTCTATTATCTATTTATGCCACATCTAAACAATGCATTTCACTCCTGTTTGTTTCTTAGAAAGCTTTTTAGTGTAAATCTGAAAAATTATTGCTCCCATCACAAAATGGGAGACTTGAGAGCACTCAGAAACATGCTGGCTACCACTCTGTTACCATGCAGCTCAGAGAAAATCACCAAACCTCAATAAAGTCTATAGGCACAATTATTACAGCATTAGAAGAACTCTCTGCTCCCCTCCCTCCCTTTTTTTCTTGATGCAGTGAAATAGTTTTGACTAGTCTTATCTCCTTGTATTTGGGGGAAAAGAAAAACAGGAGAGAATCAACAGGACAGCTTTGGTTCTTCTGATTATTTAAAACAAACTTACAAGCATTTCCAAATTGCATTAAATATTCTGAATTTAGGACAGGAACCTTCTCATTATCTTTCACAAATCTAATTAACTAAATGAACATGCTCCAAGCAACAGCAAATTCCCCATGTGCACTTTTGAGTAAAGGGATTCTCTTCCTTGTGAAACTGCAAACCAGCATCAGGCATATGCTCCTACACAAGCAAAGTGGTTGCCAAATGGGACAGTTTAAACCTGGAAAGAACATTCTGGGTTATAAAAATATAACCCTGTTTAGAAAAACAAAGGCTGAGAGAGCCTCAGGGTATCATTTTTTGTCCATAGTAGACAAGAGGTCTGGTAACAAGGGCAGAAGGCTGGGAAATGGGATTAGAAACTGTCATTCAGACCAATGGAAAATATAATCAGAAGCAGACTGGTGCTCACAACAGCTTGTTGCAGCAGAGACTATTTTTATTTTGCAGGAGCACAATACTCACCCTGTTACACACCAATATGAGAAGGCTGCTGCAGCAAGAGACAAATTGTGATTTGCCTTAAAAGGTAATTCCTACAGAATCACCTCTGTTTTGACCTGATGCAGGTCAAAACCTAATGACCTAATTTATAGTGGGTAAAAAATTCCACCCTCGAAATTACTTTGGCCCTGTAGTTTTTACTGTCAGAAATAATTTCTTTGAAATCTAATTCATGATTTGGAGGCTTCATTACATTTTCACAAGTAATTTTAAACTTAAATCACCACTGGCAAATTCATCACTTATTGACAGAAACATTAGTACTCTAATAGAGTGTGACTTGTGATGACACAAGATAGGAAGGGATGAGGGTAGAAAAATCTGATCCCTTCTGCCACAAGAGACCATTCTGTGTCAGGGGAAAAAAAAAAAAAAACAGGGAAAAAAAAAAGTTTTTCTTTCCCCCACTACTCCCTAATGGGCAATTTAAGAAGAGTTTTGGAGTTGCTATAATTATCTTCTAAAAACTGGGTAAGAAGATACAGGCTAAATTCAAACCAGTTTTTTGTTTTCTTCTTATTGACAGAGATACTGTAAGGATGGACTGCAGTAAAACTTCATCCTCTACAGGGGAATAAACAAAAGCATGACAAAGCAAACAAAATACAACAAAGAAGTGCAGATATTATCAATTTAATCCTTCACCATGCTGAATCCTATGATTCTGGCTGAGGACACATTGAAACAGTAGAAAGATGATGATTATATTTTGATTGATATTTAAGGAATCAATAGATAGTTAATCCAAACTTTACCAAGCAGTTTTCAACCAAACGGCATTAAGTACACTTCTCAGAGTCTCATCATATATACAGAAGCCTATACAGGTCTGATCCTACCAAGAAAAATGCCCTTCATGCTTTGTAGGCATCTCCCTTCAGCTCAACTTGTCAGGCATTCAGGAATATATTTCTTTCTGTTATAGAATCATAGAATAGTTAGAGTTGGAAAGGACCTTAAGAACATTTAGTTCCAACCCCCCTGCCATGGGCAGGGACACATCGCACTAAACCATGTCACCCAAGGTTCTGTCCATCCTAGCCTTGAATCATAGAATAGAATAGTTACGGTGGGAAAGGAGCTTAAGATCATCATTCATGACTTTCCTGGGCAACCCATCCCAGTGCCTCACCACCGTAACAGGAAAGAATTTCCTCCTCATATCCAATCTAAACTTCCCCTGTTTAAGTTTTAACCCGTTACCCCTTGTCCTATCACTACAGTCCCTCCCCAGCATCCTTACAGGCCTCCTTCAGATACTGGAAGATTGCTATGAGGTCTCCACACAGCCTTCTCTTCTCCAGGCTGAACAGCCCCAACTTTCTCAGCCTGTCTTCATACGGGAGGTGCTCCAGTCCCTTGATCATCCTCGTGCCCCTCCTCTGGACTTGTTCCAACAGTTCCATGTCCTTTTATGTTGAGGACACCAGAACTGCATACAATACTCCAAGTGAGGTCTCACAGGAGCACAGGAGCAGAGTAGAGGGGCAGGATCATCTCCTTTGACCTGCTGGTTGCACTCCTTTTGATGCACTCCAGGATACAGTTGGCTTTCTGGGCTGCGAGCGCACACTGAAGCCGGCTCATGTTCATTTTCTCATCGACCAACACCCCCAAGTCCTTCTCCGCAGGGCTGCTCTGAATCTCTTCTCTGCCCAACCTGTAGCTGTGCCTGGGATTGCTCTAACGCAGCTGTAGATCCCTGAGGGACACCACTCATTACTGGTCTCCAGCTGGACATTGAGCCATTGACCACAACTCTTTGTGTGCAGCCATCCAGCCAGTTCTTTATCCATCGAGTGCTCCACCTATCAAATTGATGTCTCTCCAATTTAGAGACAAGGATGTCATGCGGGACAGTGTCGAATGCTTTGCACAAGTCCAGGTAGATGACATCAACTGCTCTACCCTTGTCCACCAGTTCTGTAGCCCCATCATAGAAGGCCACTGTGGAGGCAGTGTTCTCACAGGAGAATGGATAACTGGTACATAAACTCTGAATAATCCTGAAAGATACAGCAAGGCTATGAGAGGCCCAAGGAAGCTTAAGCAAGCAAGATACGAAGAAGCTGGAATTCACTGAGTTAATGACAACTGTGGACTGTTGGCAAGCTTTCGAGGTCAAGTTCTCACACCTGTGCTTAACCAATTATATGTTAGTCACTAAGGGTCTTCAAGACATGTATCCAATCATAATATGCCAAATCACTGTAAGTGCATGTAAGAAATAGTATATAAGGAGTTAAGGCTTTGTAATAAACGGCTTTTGTCTGATCATATTGATCTCTGACTGGGTCCATATATTCTGCGGCAGGCCACCAAATTGGCCAGGCAGGATTTCCCCTTAGTGAAGCCATGCTGGCTGTCACCAAGCACCTTGTTTTTCATGTGCCTTAGCATGCCTTCCAGGAGAATATCCTCTAAGATTTTGCCAGGCACAGAGGTGAGACTGACTGGTCTGTAGTTTCCTGCATCATCCGTTTTCCCCTTCTTGAAAATGGGGGTTATATTTCCCTTTTTCCAGTCATCAGGAACTTTACCTGACTGCCATGATTTTTCAAATATGATGGACAGTGGCTTAGCAACTTCATTCACCAGCTCCTTCAGGACCCACGGATGGATTTCATCAGGTCCCATGGACTTGTGCACGTTCAGGTTTTTAAGATGGTCTTGAACCAGATCCTCTCCTACAGTGGGCCCAAGGTCTTCATTCTCACAGTCCCTGCATCTGCCTTCCAAGACTTGGGTGGTGTGGTCAGAGCCTTTGCCAGTGAAGACTGGGGCAAAGAAGTCATTAAGAACTTCAGCCTTCTCCAAATCCAGGGTAGTCAGTTCTCCTGATAGCTTCCGCAGAAGGCCCATGTTGCCCCTAGTCTGTCTTTTATTTGCAATGTACCTATGAGAATCCCTTCCTGTTATCTTTCACAACCCTAGCCAAGTTTAATTCTAACTGGGCCTTAGCTTTTCTAACCTGGTCCCTAGCTCTCTGGACAATATCCCTGTATTCTTCCCAGGCCACCTGTGCTTGCTTCCACTTTTTATAAGCCTCTTTTTGCCATCTAAGTCTTCTCAGCAGCATCTTATCTATCTGTGGAGGTCTCCTGGCCCTCCTGCTGCACTTCCTTCTAGTTGCGATGCAACACTCCTGAGCTTGTAGCAGGTGATCCTTGAATATCAATCAACAGCCTTGGGGCCCCCTGCCTTCTAGCGCTATATCCCATGGAACCTTCCAAAGCAGGTTCCTGAAGAGGCCAAAGTCTGCTCTCTTGAAGTCCAGAGCAGTGAGGCTGCTGCATGCTCTTCTCACTGTCCTGAGGATCTCAAACTCGACCATCTCATGATCGCTGCAACCAAGGCTGCCCTGAAGCGTCACATTTCCAACGAGCCCTTCCCTGTTGGTGAGCATGAGGTCAAGCATAGCACCTCTCCTTGTCAGCTCCTCTATTACTTGCAGAAGGAAGTTGTCTTCCACACAATCGAGGAACCTCCTGGATTGCTTGTGCCGGGCCGTACCATCCTTCCAACAGATGTCAGGGTGGTTGAAGTTACCCATGAGAACAAGGGCCTGTGAGCGTGAGGCTGCTCCTATCTGTCTATAGAGTGCTTCATCCCCAGATTCCTCTTGATCAGGCGGTCTGTAACAAATCCCCACAGTAATGTCTCCCATAGCTGTTCTCCCTTTAACCCTGACCCACAAACTCTGTTGACTCTCCCCAGACAGAGATCCATACTCTCCAGCCTATACCTAACATAAAGGGCAACTCCCTCCCCGTTCACCGGGCCTGTCTTTTCTAAAGAGCCTGTAACCTTCCATTCCAACACTCCAGTCATAGGAGCCATCCCACCATGTTTCTGTGAAGCCCATTTTATCATACCCTCACAGACGTGCACACATCTCTAATTCCTCGTTTGCTCCCCATGCTACGGGCGTTTGTATAGAGGCATCTGAGCTGAGCTCCAACTGAAGCCGGCTCATTGGCTGGAGCGGCTGGAATTGCTCCGAGCCTTTACTATAGGTGCTGGCAACCAACTGGGTGTGTTGGAATGGAATGATGCCCCCCTCCCTTAACACATCTAGCTTAAAGCTTCCTTGACCAGTCTGGCAAGCCTCCTACCAAAACAGCAAGACCAGCTCCACCAGCCTCCAGTAGACCTGGCCTCCCAAATTGAGTCCCATGTTCTAAATACCCAAACCCCTGATTATGGCACCACCATTCCAACCATTTATTAACCTGGCCAATCCTCCTAGCCTTTTTAAGGTCCTCCCCTTTATCCTGGAGAATTGATGAAAAGACTATCTGAGCTTCAGAGCCCCTAAGCACCTCTTCCAGGGCTCTGTAGTCCTTTGTGATGTTCCCAGGGCTATTGCTGTCTATATCACTAGCACCCACATGGATCACTAGAAGTGGGTAATAGTACATGGGACTTACTAGACCAGGCAGCCTCTCTACAACATCCCTGGTATGTGCCCCTGGTAGGCAGCACACCTCCCTTGAGACTGGGTCAGGCCTACAGATGGGTGCCTCTGTGCCTTTCAGAGTCCCCTATCACTATGGTCCACCGCTTTTTCCTGGCAGCACCAGTAGCGATCTTCTTTACCAGTGCATCAGCCAGTTGTGGTGTGAGTGTGTTTCCTCATTAGCCCCCTGCAGGACAGCAAAGCGGTTCTGGGGGGGGACAACAGATTTGTGAGGAATCCCCTTGCTTTTAATTGTCCTCTTCCTCCTTTTTTTGTTTTTAACCATTCAGGGCTGGTGTCGCTCCTCCTGGCTCCGCCCCTGTGAGTCCCTGCTCATGTCAGCTGAGCTGCCGGCTCCTGGGCAAGTCCTGTGGAGGACTTGAGGCTCCTCAGTGGCTCTCCCTGCTCTGAGTTGAGGCTCCTGGATGCTGAGCTTCCCCCCGCTCCGGTGTTGAAGGCATCCTCTCTCGAGCTACTCACCTCAGCAACTGACATGTTCCAGATAACAGTTTTATTTACAGTACTTTATTTATCATATAATCTTTTTTTTGTCCAGCAAGTATGATTTCTGGCTAGCCATTTTGAACAAATGTGATAAAAAATACATTGCACATATTAGATGTTTTTAGTGCAACTCCCTAACGAAACACAACTCCCCATGCAGTGCAAAACACTGCTGTCATGGAAAGGTAGGTGATGCACAAGCAGAAGTCCCACATTTTCTTACCTAAAGGCAGAGTGAGGCTGTGCCACAGCAAGAGTTAACACTATATAGTCTGTCAGTACTTGGTTGTCCTGGGTTTAGGAGTAGCAGTCATTTTTTCTCCTTCTTGGTAGCTGGTGCAGCACTGTGTTTTTGACTTTTGGCCTGGGAATGGTGCTGATGGCACCAATGTTTTTAGTTACTGCTCAAACGTTTGGCCTGGCCAAGGACTTTGTGAGCCTCATGCTCTGCTAGGGAGGAGGGGAAGCCGGGAGGAAGCAGAGACAGGACACCTGACCCAAGCAAGCCAAAGAGGTATTCCATACCACAGCACGTCATGCCCAGGATGTAACTGTGAGTTACCTGGAAGGGCTGGGTGTCTGCAGGGTTGGAGGAGGTATCAGTCGGTGCTTGGTTGGGCTGGGGGGGTAAGTTATCGGTTGGCGGGTGCTGAGGTGTTGTATTCTCTTCCCTTGTTATTTCCTTTATCATTGTTATTATTGGTGGTAGCAGTAGTGATTTGTGTTATACTTTAGTTACTAAACTGTTCTTATCTCAACCTGTGGGAGTTGCATTTTTTTTTATTTTCCTCTCCATCCCTCCGGGAGTAGGGGGAGGGCAAGAAGGGGGGGAGTGAGTGAATGAGCTGCATGGCTGGGTTTAAACCACAACATTGGTAAAGAAACCTCCACTGCAATCATATGTGAGCATGCTGTAATTTGCAAGTTGATTGACG